AAAGAGGGTGCTCATAGGAAGTCAGTGGCAGACACTAGGTTTTGAAGAAGTAGTGAAGGTGGCAATCAAGCTGGACAATGAAGTCAAGCATGTAGCCAAAGAAACTAGGAAGATGCAAGAGGCACATCCAAAGCAACAAGATGGAGGAAGACAGGGAGGAGGAAGGTTCCAACCACCCCCACAAAATGCAGCCATCAACCCACAACAGCAGCATCAAGGAACACTGACAGCCCAACATCAAGGAACACTAGCTCCCTGGTAACAAACCCCCACACCTGCAACTGGCACTGCCAACACCAACCACTGCCAACTCTCTCCAGAAGAACATGTGTACAGGCAGACATACCACCTCTGCTTCCAATGCAGAGATCCCAGACATGCAGCCTGCGACTGTACAGTCAGGCAAGCCTGAGCCACAGGGCTGATACCAAGCTTCAAGGAGTTCCTGCATACAACATGCATGACCAAACCAAGGGGAGAAGCCACAGAAGAAAGAGAGCAGGAAAGGTCATCAGGAAATGAGGACAGCTTGTGAGTAAACACACCCTCATGAGCAAGAACTGGAGGATTAGGTCAGATACCACCCATGCAAATATAAAAGAAATTGCTTCTGTGTCATTTTCATCAAAACAGAGTGCACATATCCTGATCCCAACCACCCTCCAAGTTCAAGACATGACATTCAAACCCACAGCACTAGTTGATACTGGCACCACATCTGAATTCATAAGTCAACAATTTGTGGAAGAGCACCATATTCCCACATGACCACAGCCATTCCCCCTCATACTGAAAGATATTGATAACCATCCACTAGGAACAATCAACCAGGTCATCACAGCAACACTCCTGGTTAACAACCATCATGAAGAAGTCATCTTTGAAGTAGCACTGATAGGATGACATGCACTCATCCTAGGCCTTCCATGGTGTCAAAAACACAACCCAGACATCGACTTTAGGGACAACTGGATCACATTCAGTGATGCATACTGCTTGGCAAACTGCCTAGAACACCCTCCAGACATCATCAGCTGAAACATCAAAGAACCAAGACTGCTGCAACCAATCCCTGTAAGGGAATACTCAGATGAAGAAGAGGAACAGATCATTGATGCAATCAAAGAAGATTGGGAACTTGTCATCCAAGAAGAAGAAGAAGTAGCAGTGATGAACATCTCTGCAGAGATGGTGAGGAAGCACCTGGAAGAAGAAAAGGTGGTCACTGAGATTGTGCTGCCCAAGTACCATGACTTTCTTGACATCTTCTCTGAGACTGAACCTGACAAGCTCCCTGACCACCACAAATATGACATCCCTATAGAATTTGTCAAAGATGCAGTACTACCAAGACCTGCAGGTCTCTACCCAATGTCAGACACAGAGAATAAGGAGCTAAGAGAATGGCTCAATGACATGCTTAAGAAAGGGTTCATCCAACCCTCCAACTCCCCAGTCACATCACCATGTTTCTTCATTCTGAAGAAAGACATGAAGAAGAACCAGCTTGTCATTGATTGGTGCAAGATCAATGCCATCACCATCAAGGATCAGTATCTGCTTCTGAGGACAGATGAGATCATGGATCCAATATGAGGATCCAACATCTTCTCAAAGTTTGACTTGCACAATGGCTACAACCTCATATGGATTTGTGAAGGAGACAAGTGGAAAACAGTATTCAAAACACAGTTCAGACTCTTTGAGTTCAAGGTCATGCACTTTGGCCTGTGCAATGCCCCTGCTATCTTCCAACATATGATGAATGACACCCTCACACCAGTCCTTGATATCTCAGCCACAAACTACCTTGATGATACACTCTCTTATGCAGATAACCTACCTGATCATATCCAAATGAACTGAAAGATCCTACAATGGTTCAGAGAAGCCAAGCTTTACTGCTGAGTGAAGAAATGCAAGTTCCATAAAGATGAGGTGGATTGGTTAGGAGTCCATGCAAGCAAGAGGGGTTTTGAGATGGACAAATGGAAGGTGGAAGTGGTGCACAAATGGAAAGAACCATATAACATGAAAGAAGTACAGTCATTCCTAGGATTTCTGAACTTCTATTGCAGGTTCATCAAGGGATTTTCAAAGATGGCAAGGCTGCTTCATGACCTAGAAAGAAAAGGTGTGAAGTTCATCTGGGGGCAGAGAGAGCAGGTGTCATTCAATGCACTGAGACATGCCACCATGACAGTGCCCATCCTCATACATGCAGACCTGGACTGGCCCTACATCCTCAAAACAGATGCCTCAGATTACATGCATGGTGCAGTACTCTCACAGAAGCAGGCTGACAAGAAACTCCACCCTGTTGCATTTCTGTCCAAGTCACTCACACTGGCAGAATGCAACTATGACATCTACAACAAAGAGATGTTAGCAATAGTCAAGGCATTCAAGTACTGGAGACAGTATACACAAGGCATGAAGGACCTGGTCAAAGTCATTACAGACCACAAGAACCCCACCTACTTCCATGATGCAAATATCACAAACTGCTGACATGCATGATGGGCTGACCTCCTTTCCCACTACAACTATGACATTTCATACCAACCAGGGAGCCAATCAGGAAAGCCAGATGCACTATCATGTTGTGTGGATCACCATCCTGAAGGGGGGGATAACACTGCAACCAATTTGATTTTCTGACCTGAAGCATTTGTGTCAATTGCCACATTGTACTACACAGATGCCAACATAATGGAGATGGTGAAGGAGAAGCTATGCACAGACAAGAGGCTGGCACCCATCATGGCCTTCTTTGATGCTGATCCACACATGAAGATGGAGGTGTATGAGTTAGAGGAAGGAGTATTGTACAAGGAGGGAAAGGTCTACATACCTGATGATGAAGATGTCAAGAGAGAAATCCTCAAACTGTACCATGAATTGCCAATCACAGGACACCCAGGCCAGGCAAGGACACTAGAGCTGGTGAGCTGAGGCTACTATTGGCCATTGCTCAAAGCATACATCAACAGATTCGTTGACAGATGCAACATATGCCAAAGGGTCAAGACATGACATGGAACCCTCCATGGCTTGCTCAAACCCCTACCAATTCCCAAAGGCCCCTGGAAAGTGATCTCTTATGACTTCATCACTGATCTTCCAAAGTCAAAGGGATTCAATGTGATCTTTGTCATAGTCGATCAACTCACAAAGATGGCACATTTCATCCCAACTATGAAGGAAATATCAGCAGAAGGCACAGCTAACCTACTTCTTGACAACATATGGAAGCTACATGGCCTACCTGTGTCAATGGTGTCAGATCAAGGGACACAGTTTAACTCAAAGATGCTGTGTGGGCTCTACAAACAGCTAGGAATCAAGCCAACCTTCTTAACAGCATACCACCCACAGATGGATGGTCAAATGGAGTACACCAATGTTGCCATAGAACATTACCTCAGGGTGTTTAGCAACCACTGCCAGAATGATTGGACATCACACCTCCTGTTGGCCAAGTTTGTCTACAATAATATGCATCACTCCTCAATTGGCAGCTCCCCTTTCTTCACTAACTATGGCTACAACCCTATATTCACCAACTGACCTAGCAAACAACAAGCATTGCCCATCACAGAAGGAGTCACTGACAAACTAGCACTAGTACAAGAGGAACTCAAAGTGACCATGAAAATAGCACAAGAATGGATGGCACAATTCTATGACAATAACCACACCATTGCCCCTATACTCAAGGTTGACAACAAGGTGTGGTTGGAAGTGACAAACCTCAGGACAGATCATCCCTCAGCAAAGCTTGCATCAAAGCACCTCAGCCTGTTCAGGGTCAGAGACATCATCTCAACCCACACCTACCAGCTTCAACTTCTGAGTACAATGAAAGTCCATGATGTGTTCCACATATCACTACTCATGCCACATTGGGCTGACATGATCCTGGGCTGACAATTTATGAATCCTCCACCTGTCATCACCAAAGAAGAGGAAGAGTATGTGGTGCAAGAAGTAAAGAACTCAAGGTACTTCTGGAACCAGCTGCAATACCTGGTCTATTGGGAAGGTTATGACAATAGGGAAGACACTTGGGAACCACTGAGTCACCTCAAGCATGCTCAGGAATTGATCACTGAATTCCATAAGCAGCATCCCAAGGCTGCATCACCTACACACCATCCACAAGTTGCTTGTCATCACAAGCCTGCTTCAACTCACACCTAGAAGAGAGGCTAATGTCCTGACCCTGTTCCTCCTGTGTTTGCTAAGTCCCTATTTTGAACTCTATGGTCTCATGTTCCCCTTCTGGTTATATCTATGTTGACTGCAACAGTGTACTTAAGGTTTGCTTATATGTTGATGTTCTCTCTGACACTGACATGTCCATTCTATGATGTTCTCTCTGATGCTGATGTGTCCTTTCTCTGATGTTCTCTCTGATGCTGATGCATCCTTTGTCTTATGTTCTGGGATTCATATATAACTGACAAAGTGAGGAGGTCTTGTTCCTCACTTTGCCTCCTGTATTCTCCAGTCTCAAGTCTGTAGTGACTTCTCTATTCATACCTTATTCAAAGCTCACAGTCCACATGCTGAGTATCCCACTCATCCCACATCCACATGTCACCATCCACAGCCACAGAACCCATAGTTGCAACATTTGCTGATGTTGCCCTCACCTGTTTTGCATTGTAACTATTGGTGGTGGCCTTAGAAAGCAAAGTGTTATTGTTATTGATACTGGTACATAAGTGGAGTGGCCACCATACAAAAACAGAATATTGATTGTTGAAGGCTCCAAGTTGAGAGAGGCACCAATGAAGTTGTTATGGGGGACACTAATCCTAAAACCTTCCCTCACTGGGCCCTCACTATGTCTGACTGAGCAGATATTCTAATGTTATGTCATGCTTTTATCAAATTTTTTGGTTGCATCAAAGAGTCTTCTAAATGGGAATGTGCAAACACTGGATGTGGGGACACCCCAAACCAAAATGACAAGGAGACTTAAAATATATGGATACACTGTCGGGGAATCGAACCCCGCCCGCTTGCTGGCAACTCATGGAAGGCAAGCATGATAACCACTTCACCAACAGTGTTGAACCGAGAGCCTTTTAATCTTATTACACCCAATCGCCCTAATCCATGGCCCTCAGCATGGTTTGTATTGAGTGTGCATGTGCAGTACAATATACAATGTCCTCGCATTAACCCTTTCAGGGTGGTTGAAAAGGGGTGACTGCGATCCGCTTGCGAAGTAAATGCGTCAAGCGTCCATTCTCCGCACCCTGCTAGCTTCAGAGCGTGTTTCCCGTCCGGTATTCTGAGCCACCGACGACAGAGTTCCGAACCCACACCAAAGATATGTTTCGGTTGTCCCCGCAGAAAAGGAATTTCTCCAACGATTGCTCCAACGGCGGGATACACTTGTCCACGTTGAATCCACGCATGTCCACAAGGATTGCATCGAATTCTTTGCCTGGCGAAAAGTTCCCAACGGTATCTTTCAATCCGCACAAGTCGGCCCCTCCAAGCGTCGCTAAATAGAGAAGCGTTGGGATCGGCAGTTGCTTGGCTGTAAAACCAGTGTCCGGGGAAGGCGAGGTGGGTGATGATTTCAAGGAGACCATCTTCGAACAGATACTTGCATGTTGGACCGCTGTCAGCATTGATGCCGAGTAGCCGCCGGACACGTCGGTCCCGAGTCCAACCTATATAACGAGGCGGAAATCAGTACACAACATAAAAGAGTATGGCCTTGCCTCAAGTTGGTAGTACCTTGATTCCCTTGTCTAACATGTCACCGACGTTGGCCATTCCACTCCGGATGTTGAAGTTGCTGGTAGGACAATGGCTGATCCCAGCGCCCTTGGCTTTGATAAGCTCCAGCTCATCTTCTCCGAGATGAACGCCATGCGCGAGAATCGTCTTCTTCCTGAGCAGACCGAATGTGTCGTACACCCCCGCATAGTGTGGACAATCAGGGAACAGCTTCTGCGTGAACGCGATTTCCGCGGCGTTCTCCGAGATGTGCGTTTGAATGGCGAGTTCGGGGTCCCTGGCTGCAATCTCCCCGAGACCTGCGAGGAGGGCCGCGGAACAGGAGATCGCGAAGCGTGGAGTGAGAATGGGGTGCACCAAAGGAGACTCTGATTGGAGAGATTTGATGTAGTCGACGAGGGTGCGTGTGTCACGAAGAGAATCCTCTGGGGACTTTTCCTGGTACGTTTCTGCGGAATTCCGATCCATATTGCATTTCTACAATGCCGGGGGTCAGCGTCGTTGGAAAAAGATCGCGACGGGCTCACAACAATCGCATACTGACTCCGACGAACGCGCGTTGCCCTGAATAAAGATAGGTCAGTCGAATGCTGCCAAAGGCTGTATGCATTCCACCCACCTTTCTTATATGTGACGTCCGCTAAGATCTTGGTCGCCTCCAGATGTAAGGTTCCATAGTAGCAGCATGTTGTTGTCTTAGACACGATTAATGAGTGATAGGACGTGAAAATGCATTGATTCTTACCCCATGGTTGATCACAGTCTGGACGACGGCCGTATACGTAGATAGTGCGTATTCAAGATCTGCAAATTTAGCCTCTGTCGGGAACGTCAGATTGGTAAGCCAATCCAGGAGCTCGTACTCTTGTCCGCTAAAGATATACGTTAGCGTAACATTCCGTTTACCAAGTGACGCTGCCATCAACTCACGCGCCCAGATTCGGATATTGAGGTGCGTGCTGCAAAGAGTAGAGTCTTTGAGGCCCACCGTCAAGCCAGCCAGAGAAAAACACAACGTTACTCACTGTGTGCGTATCAACGAACCCAGGCATGATCCATTGGCCGGGTTTAAGTTCCACAAAGTCGACGTCGTCCAATGACCATCCTTTGGCGGCGACAACGTCCTGAACGCGATGATTGTCTACGCCAACCTCGAGCCATTGGATGATTCCCTTGTCGTCTATGGCTATCAAGGCCTCGTTGGACGCCTGGTATTCTCGCAAAGATAAGGGGTGAATGATGGCGCCATAGATGATGCGTCGCGTGCTCTATCGTTTTTGAGGTGAGATGATGAACAGACCATCCACCTCTTCACAAACACCGACCTTTAGTGCCATCTCAACGTACACAAAAGCTGTCTGGTATGCAGAAAGATAATGGGAAAAAGAAAACACAGGCAACAACGCGCACGGTTCGTATGTATGTCAGTTATGTAAAAGGGCGGGCCATATGGCCAATTGCACATCCTTGAGGCAACAGCGGTCCAAGATGTGGGGTGGGTGAACTTTCCATTTTGCCGGGGCACTGAATCTCGGATCCTCACCCGCACCCCGTTTCTAGCATTCATATCACGCTCAGTTGGGTCGTCTCAGAGAACAAGATTAAGATTCACCAAGGACAGCGAGGATGCGAATTAAAGTGTACAAAGATGTGTGAGGTGGGCATTACGGGTCGTTGTTACATTCGAGTCTAAAAACAAGTAGAAGTAGATGCTGTCTAAATTCGCTATGATGGGGTATCATTCCTCATTCGGGTCATGTCCTGGGACTCGGTGTTGTTCGAGACCGTCGATGCTCACGATCTACCAAAGAAGGGAAGTAGGTTAGCGATAAGGAATGAGGTAGTAACCAAGAGAATACACACCTTGTGGATGATACGCCTCTCTGCCATAATATTGCTGCTGCGTGGATCGCGAGGGAGAATAACCACTTCCAGGTGGGATTTGATGGCCACCATACGTGCTTTCAACAGGTGGAGGTGCGTAGTATGCACCCTGAGCATCTGCCCTCAACGGCGGTAGCTGGATCCGACCCGAGGCGCTTTGAGGCGCCGGCACTACCGACCCTCGACGATCTTCCAGTGGCGGCGGCTGACTGGCGGTAGGATAAGGTGCTGCCTCAACAGCAACAGCAGGAGGTGGTGGGGCTTGCTGTTGCCACCCACCCGTAGCAGTCCGCTGCTGGGGGTGATGGGGCGCTGAATATCCATTTTGAGCATGCGGTGGTGGATGATATGGATCAGAGGACGAAGGAGGCTGATACTGAGCGGCATAATGAGATGGGGGAGGTGGCGGCGGGCCGTGAGACTGGTGAGCGTGAGGATGAGGTGGTGGGTACTGCTGGACGTTTACCGGGTACGAATACTGAGTTGGCGGCGCCTGTCCGTATCCTCCTGGCTGCTGCTGGGGCTGCGGCGCATACGTGGGCTGTGATTGGGCATACTGAGGAGGTGGGGGTGGCCCTGCAGCCTGCTGCAATGATGGGACTGGTCCATGAGGCGGCGGTTGCGAGGCAGAATCCCGACGCGGTACGTATGGCTCAGGTGTCTGAGTATACGATGGATGCGAGATGGCAGTAGGCGCATGCTGAAGCGATGGCGGCGGCGGTTGTTGCCACGCGTTTGGATATGCAGAAGCCTGAGAAGGTGGCGGCGGTGCTCTAGCATCATGCGCACCACTCCGATCACCCCCTATACCCACAGCGGAGTCATACGTCCTCTCCGGTACGCCCCTTCGGGATGCTGGAGGTGGTGGTGGTGGCGTAACGGTATTAGTTGCCGATGGAGGATATGTTGGCGGTGCAGCAGGATAACCACCTGGTGCTGTGGGAGGTGGAGGATGTGCATATGACTGAGCGACAGCCTGTTGCTGTTGCTGCTGATGTTGCTGCTGTTGGTCATACTCGTATTGTTGTCGTGATGGCTGAGAAGCATACGCTTGACGCGCATAACCTTGCTGCTGTTGTTGTTGCGGAGGCCCCTGTGGCGGCGGTGGTTGTTGCCAATGAGATTGGGCGGATTGAGGAGGCGGATACGAAGCAGGATAACCTTGAGCAGGCGAAGCGCTAACCGGGCCAGATGCTCCAGATGGGGACTGTTGAGGAACATGTGTCGGAGGAGGTTGAGGATAAGCTCCATGGGACCCAGGTGGAGGGGGTGGCGGCTGAGTTGGCTGCTGTTGAGGCTGTGGCTGCTGCGATTGCGGATCATACTGTCCAGGCGAGGCATACGGAGATGGCTGATGATGAGGGTGTGCATAGGACAGTGTTTGATGGGCAGGAGGTCGATATTCAGCATAGTTTGCATAAGATCCATTCTGAGACGTAGGCGGCGGTTGATACGGTTGCGTGTGCTGCTGTTGAGTGTTATTGGCATGCTGTTGCGCATAAGGAGCTGAATTCGGGCCTGAAGATTCAGATGGATGATGAGATGCTGTCGGCTGCTGCTGTGCCAACTGCGGCGGATGAGAATAAGGCGAAGGAGCATGGGATGCTGGATCGTTGGCTGAGGGGCCACCGGGAGCAGGGGTATGCTCGCCAACACTTGGAGGCTCTGAAGCGATCGACGCAGGTGCATTGGTGGCATCTCCAACTCGAAGTCGCTTGGAATCTCTTCCGTTGCTGTTGCCCGCGATATGCGATGAGCTGGAAGCAGGGCCTGCTTGATCGTTATCGAGTGAATGCTCGGTGCCCGAGACGGAGTCCCTATTTCGCTTGTGGCCTCCTTGATGTTGTTCGGCGCGTGTGGCCGGCGCGGGGGTCTGCTCCGCTAAGGGCATCGGAGAGGTGTCGGCGCTATCTTGATCTTCCTCAAGGATAGGAACGATCTCCTGATGAACGGGCCGCTTCCGGACCCGGATGTCCTTGCGAATGCGAATTTTGATGCCCTGCTCGGCAAGCGAGCATGAGAGAGAGGTGGATTCTGTTTAGGGTGGCATGAGGACAATTATGCTTGTGATCGTAGTGATAGACATACCTTCCATCCCAGGGAACTTTTTTGCGGTGAATACATAGAACGGCCGGGAGAATATGGACTTGCAATGGTAGACATTGGCGCTACACAATGGGTTCAGTGCACGTATCTTGGAGAGTGGATGTTCGTGAACTCACCCAACGACTTCAAACAGACTAAGCTTTAATCGATAGCTGCCTTCGGTGCGCACGCTGAGATCAGGGAAGACGAAGAACCCAGCATCCTTTCCACCATTCTCATGATCCTTGAGATGATACAAGGAAGAGACAACACTGCCAGTGGTATAGCGGGTCTTGCCATCCTTTAAAAGATGAAGCTCCTCATCGGAATCGGGAGCGGCGAGGGAAGC